GCTCGTCTTTTTACCTGTCTTTTGCGCGGAGAATGCAACGCCCGCATTCGATCGTCAAGCAGCGTATCACCGTCTGCCATTGGCCTCTCGTCGTAAGGCACCCCCCCCGCAATGCGCCTTCGCCCACAAGAGCATCTGATATCACAGTACATTCACCGGTATTCTCAGCACGCTCTCCTAATGCTTCGGGAATTTGTGAACCATAGTATAGCGTGATAATGAACGCACTCGTCCGTCTGCTGTTGGGTCATCAGAGCCTGTGGTGGCCAACGTTACCGTTGTCGACCGTCGAACGGCGGATACACTCGCATACACTCTAACGATCCTCCGATTTTCCATTATTTACCTTTTCAGGAAAGGTGCGTTTTAGGCGTGTACGTAATGCCACTAGAGATAACGGTCGAGTCAATAGGGCCTACTCCCTCTTCGTAGAGGCGGGTTACGGTTCATGGGGCAGGTATCGTCACTTTTCACCTGCATTTTCTAGTTTAGGGTATGTACAGACAATGTGGAACAAATGGGGATATACTCCTTGCCGCAGAGCAACCCGTCGAACAAAAGATTCTAACATCGGAACCGACCCCCAAAAACATCTCATGATGACATCTACTTTTGCCTCTTGTATATCTTGTTCAAGAAGCTCCTAAACACCTCACGCTTCAGGGACACCTTGTCCTTCTCATTCCCCAAACTGGGGATTGTGCGGGGAAACGGCTCTAACATTGGCTCATACTTGGTCTGCTTCAGGGACGGAAACAAGTAAGCGTATATTCTACTCGGCAGTGCGAATAAAAAATGGATGCTCACTGCTCCTCCTCCTGACGAAGTGTACTCCTGTCCTGGCGTCTCCGGGATAGCATCGATGAGCTTGTTCAGTTTCTCGTACGTGTTTTGCTCGTACTCTTTGTAGAGCGGTTCGATCTGGAGTTCGTTGAATACCTCTTTTACGCGAGCTTCTGCCGCCGCGTCCTTTCTTCCATAGTTTTCCTGCACAAGTCAGTACATTCGACAGAAACTTTAATAAGCACTCACATCCAAGACCTTTCTCTGCTTCTCGTTGGCTTTTTGCAGTGCAATGTTGACATTCCAGCTACACTTGTTGTCCAAAATATCCGTTCCAATCTTGCCAATTTGCTCAGGAGTTCCAAAGCAGTCGAGATAGTCGTCTTGAACTTGGAAATATTCACCAATGGGGATAAGGATGGACAAGGCGGTGGCGTAGGCCTCGTCCGAGTAAATGCCCGCATAGCGCATGCCCAACGCGACGGGGAGGTAGAACGAATAGTACGCCGTCTTGTAAATCACAATCAACTGGTGCCTGCGCCGACATCAATACCAAGTCAACTAAAAAGTACGTCCTACTCACTTTTTGAGGGAAAACTTGCTGAGGTCGACTTCCTCCTCCGGAGCCGTGATCAAATCAATCAACTGGCCAATCTCCGTCTTGAACGTCGTCTCCAAAAACAATTCGAGCAAATACACATAACAGCTCTCCGTCCTAAAGTACACTTTGAGCAAGTGATAGATGGCGGCTTCGAGCATAAAACTATCATTGATGGCGATATTGCCGACGCCCTTGACGCGGTACCAGCAAGGCTGCCCACGACGCGTTACGGACGCGTCCATCATATCGTCCGCTACGAGGAAGTAGGCTTGCAAGAGCTCGACGCACCAGCCCAACACTGCCGACTTGAAAAACTCTTCGTCGGTTAGTGGACGGCCTTGTAGGATCTCGAATGTATCGACCACCGAGATACCGCGGTTGAGTTTACCCCATGGAGTGTTATAGTTCAAGTTCTGTAAACGTGTAGATTGGATCGGGGTGAAATCGGAGGACGATGGGGGTCGTCGTTGTGGTCAGAAAATAGAAGAGTGAATAGAGTTTTTCTTATAAACATCGATGAACAAGGGAGGGGATACGTACGCGTCTGAACCATTCTGTAGCGTCTTCAGGCATGGAATGTTGCTTCATCAAGTCGACGAGCTCATTCTCGAGCTTGGGCCATACGTCCAAGAATCGCTTCTTGGTCTCGGCAGCTTTCGCCTTGGGATCTACGTTCGAGGAAGCTTGGTACTGAGTTGCCATTGTGGATAGGATAGGATCTACAAGTGGTGTAGGTGTACGACGAG